CTTGATTTTTAAATCCATGAAGAATCTACAAGTGAAAGGGGGGGAATGCCCCAATTTAATATTGAAATGCTACTAAGAAACAAAGGAAGTCTAGTAACAACTGAAATGTTTTTTTCTTCTAAGGATGACATACAGAACAGAGCTACCTACACAGATTAGCGTGTGTATACTTAATCTATATGTATTTTTAATGAGTAAGGTGATTTATGACCTAGTTAAAATGTTTATCATTGAGACAGCCTATCAACTGGTAACAGTATATGTATGTTGAGATTACTGTATTGACATTTCTTTAAATGTGTAATATGTTGTGGGAAGAAGGCTGAGCCAAAACTGCAGCCGGCATTTGACAGAATGAATTCCTGTCAATTTCTAGCACAAATATAAAAGCATCCTGTGAGAGCACCATTTTTCCCCATGGAACCTGTAAGACAATTGTCACTAAAAAGGAAGCTGTTAAAATCTTTCATGTTTTGAAAGAACAGGGATCCACAGTCAGTGGCAGTCAAAAGGCAGCAAAAGAGGAAAAAAAATCTACAGGTTTCAGTCTGGACCTTCCAACAAAATAAATTAAGTGAAAACTATGAAAATTAAATGATACTATCAAAAAGATCTTAGTATGTTAGCTCTGAAAATAGCAGGTTAAAAGGCAAACATCAGAAAGAACACAAGCAGTTGAAATGGCTCCTCATAGAAAACTATGCCAAGAGCCTAAAGTTTTGTTTTTCTTTTTTAAATTCAATGATACTGAATTGTGGAACAGTGTCATGAACACATCCTCACAGAAAAGACAATGTCAAATTTAAAGCTCATGGTACCGAGTTCACCCTCAACATGACGTTCTCAAGTTGAGCTGTTCTTAAACAGGATGTAGCAATAATGACATTGCACTGTCACCAGTTAACTTACTGCTCTTCTCCCTGAAAGAGACTTTTCACAAGCAGGCTCACCTCTCTTTCCTAACCCAAAGAGTCAGGTTAGCTAGCTGCCAAGAAACAACTGAAAATCTCAGAATGTTCAGGTATGACAAAAGGGACACTTTAAAAATAATCTTCCAGCAGAATTTTAGCAAGTGAGCTTCAGCTAGACTTCAGATACCTTACTTTTTATAAAAAGTGATAAAATTCTTAGAGCATGTCTCAGATTTCAATACTGGCAGCTCATCTACCCATACTCGTGAAACCTGTATTTTCTCTCTCAGCTCCAGTGCCAAAAAGAACAAAACAAAACAAGAAACACTGGACAATCCATTTTTTTTCCCCATTGTTCCTGAAAGGCATTATTATTGTTGGAAAAACATCTAACTGGACTACAGCAATCATGTATTCATGATAAAGTAATCTAAAAACCATGCATGCCATCCGTTGAAGAAATCTTTGTCTCCTTTTTCTTGAATGGCAAAAGTTCGAAAGAATACACTTTAAAAAGCAAGGATGTCCTTATGCCAAGTGACCAAGAACCTTTGTGTCTAGTTTGAATGCATTAGACCCCACATAGAAAACTTGGAAAGAATCTGGAAAACAGGAACCTAATGTACTGAAGCAAGTATTCAATGCTGAAGGACCAGTGTAGAAACAAGCACTTAAACTGCTTTGGACAATCACAGATAGCATCCTGCACTTTCTTTTAAGCTTGTAAGTATTCACTGTTTCCTTCTGCTGATGCTAGAATACACACAGCTGTGCATTTCCTGGACCTGACATTCCTTTGAAGGAGACCAGTTATCTGAGAGGCTAACTAGGACAGTGAGATTTCTGTTTTTGCTCTTAAAGATGGTATACAACAGTTCTAGTTTCTGTTCTGATGCTCACACATGGCACTTCCTGAAGAAAGACTGCCAATACTGACCCATGATCCTAGTAAATATTTAGGAATATGCTCCATTTTTGCTTTAAGAGGAATATCATGAACATTTGACATACACCTTTCCTAAAAACAGATATTTCACTTTACAATTTATGAGGGGAACCACACTACTGAACAGTGATGAAATAAATGTCTTTTTAAAAAAAATTAAGACACTAGTGCCAAAACACAACGTATCACATTCTGCGTGCCTTTTTTTTTCCCCCCCTTCTTATTTTACACAAGGCAAACAGTGCTTTTGCTTAAATTCTATTGACACTTTGTGTAGGGATGTATTCTTGGGTATAACTGTACAGTAGTTGCTTGAAACTTGCTCATCTAAGAGGGATTAGGGATTCTGAGGAGGATTGAACAATCCCAAAAACTTATTTTCCGCAAGAGTAAGAGAAACAGATCAGGATACCACTGGAGTATTTTTTATTTGCATTTTTCTAGTTATTTCTCCAAAATAAAGTAGGCATCTTCATGGCAAAAAGGGTCTTGAACCATTCAAATATAGTTTTCTATAAAAAAAAGTCTTAAACGTGGTATAAACGCCCCTGTTCTTCCAAATGCAGGCAAAACATAATAGTCTGGACGTTATGAAAAGCTCTTTGAGGATGATTATCTCTTCAAATAAGATCTCAAGTTAACTTTTCAATACTGTTAAAAGTTTGGAATAACCCAAATACATACAAGAAAATATAGGTTAAAAAAAGCTCGGATTTTTATGTTTTGCCTGAATATTTGTGACCTTGCAAAGAAGCCTCCATGACCACAACAGGATCCAAAACAACCGCTATTAGGGTATACAGTTATATTAGAAACCTTACCTTACAGAACATGTCTCGGAGATCATCTTTTGGGCTAATCCACGATGCAACAGCATCACAAAAAAAAATAAAGTCCTATAAGATTAAACAATCACATAGGTTAGAAATCTCAATTTATACATCTGAAAACAACAATTGATGTTCATTCTACAAACTATGCAGGGTCTTTGATCCTAATTCACAACTGCATTTATTTTTATGTATTTATTTTCCAGTTAATTCAGGCAATAATATTAAGTTATTGTACACCTAAGTGTTCCGAAATGGAAATAGCTCAGTGTAGGAATAGCTTTGTTTAATCAGGTTTTTTTTTTAAATAAAACCACAGTTAAAAAAACCGCTTGCCTCCCACACCACCCTTGTCTAATGTTAATTCTTTCAAGTACACATACCAAGTTCAAGAACCAAATCACCCTAACATGCAACAAACTCTAGACCATAGTTGCAACACTTTCATGCATTTCCAGTCGGGGAAAACAAGCTGTTGTATTTCTTTCATCAGAACAAGAAGCTTTTTCCAGGACAGAAATGTTTATCATACAGGTTCAAAAGTAAAGCCACCCCAAAATCCCTATACTTAGTTCATCTGCTGTCATGCATTACTTCCTACTACACCATTAAAACACCAGTCTTTAATCATTAAGTTGATAATGCACATGTTTTTGGGTAGGGACTGAGGATAACTACAGAGAAGGAGAGATGGGATAATGAAAAGAATCTTTAATTATCCCTTCCTCTTAAGCTATGTGAAAGAACAAATGGACAGCAGAAGAGGGAAATGCCAGGCACAGAATAAGGAATAAGTGAAATGAATTGAAGATTTCAAAATGAGATAGAGGCTCAATTCTTGTGTTTCAGGAGGAAGAATTCCAGGCAGGAAGGAAAATCACCTTCATTTTCCTCTTAGAAAAATATTACCTTGGTACAGCTTTATTTTGGAGATGTGGAGATTAAAGAGCAAGTTATACCTATTCTTCAGATGTACCATTTATTTTAAAGAGATGCATGTTCCTTGTCACATTGACTATTTAAGCAATATATCCAAAGTTTAAACAGAATCTTCCCAAATTTTAAGAATGAAGGGGTGGTTACTGGTTTTGTTCTGTTTCTTGTTTTAAAAGTCTAGGCTACATCTCGAAAATAGTTTTAAATATGTCACCTTTTGCCTTATATTTTCATACAGATCCTGACTGCAACCTGACAGCAGTATCAAAATAGTTATTTTAATCAAAGTTCATTATTTACATATACTTTGTAAGTAAAAGACAAAAAATGTATTTAACAATACTCTCCTTTCCTTTGCTAGGTCAGAATTACTGAAGCATCATGAGACATATCATTCACAATATAAACATTTTGGCCTCCTTGACCTCAAAATAAAGCGACATCATGTACTGCAGGGAATCAAGTCAAGCTAAACTTTTTCATATTCCATATACAGCTTTCACTAAAATTCACATGAATAAAAAAAAGAAGTTATGATCTATTAATGTATCTTACTTGGACTACTCCACTGGGGTTGACCGAGATCATGGTACATATCCCACGGAATGCTGAATCCTTTTCCTCATTGTCTCTTATGTTTCGCAGAGATGTGCACCTAGCAAGTTAGAGAGCAAAAATTAGCTAACTATTACTTTTTCTTCAATCAAGTCAGAATTAGATGACTGTATTTGATGGAATAAGTCACACTGATAAGATTATCTTAAACATTATTTTGAACACTTAGAGAAACACTTGTTGCATACAGTCTTTACTAGGATATTCACATTAGGCATCATCTCCAAAATCTTGTTCTCCTGTTGCACTATATATGGTTAGAAAGTGTGACTTGTATTCCATTAAATACAAAACAAGCATGTATCTGAAGTATTTATAGAAACTATCATTATTAGAAGCAGAACATATAATACTATCACAGTATGAATTATGTCAGATACCACTTACAGAACAGTTCTTTAACTTTTACAGCAGCAAGCAAGCTATTTTATACATAACAAATCTAAACATGTATTTCTTACAGCAATTCAAGCCTCAGACTGAATTTTAAATAAAGTAATGCACGGTTTAAATTTTACAGTATTTGCATGCATTGTATTATCATTCTGGTGGATTTTAAAATGCTCTTTCATAGTCAAGCTTTAACACAGCAAGCATGTGACAATCTTATCCCATGCATAAATTAGTCGTTAGCCACAACATAAAGAATACATGACGGTGCTACTAAAAACTCACAAACCTGATAGGACAAGATTAGTCACATGGTTGGCAATGATTAAGGATTGAGATTTTGTAACCAACTGAAAATATATCTAAAAGTGAGATAGAGAGAAGAAAGAAAGAGAGTGAAGAAAAATGAATTAAAAAAAAAGATTGAATAATACACACCAGGGTCTTATAAACTGCTGTAGCATGGGAGCCACCTCTTGAGGACAAACGTAACCAAGACGACCAATTGTTATTGCTAAGGTAACGCAATCACGGTTATACACCACCAAACGCCAACCAAGACATGAGCAAATGAGGGGGGAGGAGAAAAAATAAAGAAAAAACAACAAATAACTCAGAAACAGAAACCAACAGAATCTGTGTATGATAATAAACATAAGATTTCACCAGTGCTGTTTATTACCACCCCCTAAATAAGAGGCAGCAACATATATGGTATACTCTCCAGGGTAAAAGAAAAATTAAAGAAGTAAATGAGAGAACACCAAAAACACAATTTAAGATCCAAAGGCTTTCTGATGTAAGCAGTCATTCTGCCCTCTTCAGAGTAATCTGTTAGAGTAAATTTACCTACCATACATTTTGAAGTTTTTATTCAAACGTACTATTATGGATACTCTTGGTAAGAAGGAATTAACCATTTTCAGTTTTAATATTAAGTACTCTAAACATTTTTTTTCAATACTTAGAATTCAAGATTTTAATAGATCTACTCTATCAGTAAAAATACATTTAGAAATACTTCTATATGGAAAATAGTGGTCTATCAAAAATGCTAAATAGATGAACACTTTGCAAAGAGCACCAAACATCTGTCGTCTTCATAGTCTCATAGAGAATTTCATTTAACATGGTTGCTAAGTCACAGCAACCGACTGCGGAAATTTAATTCTTTAATCCCAATATTTCTCGTGTTCACAAAAGGCTCTTCACAGAAGTCGTATAAGAATCTGACTTCTGATACCAAGGCATAAGGACACAAAAAGCAAAATTGTTTCATCACGTGATTAGGTAGTTTGGTCCTTTGTTCTGAGGGACAGACTTAAGAAAATATCATCATGCAAATGTGTTTTAATGGTGTTTGCCCAACTCACAAAAGATTAATCTTCAGAAAAAGGAGAGGGTGGGGAATAATGTATCAGGATTACTTGAAGCAAAATACATGAATAGTACTAAAATCCAGCAGATTTATATGAAGCAGAGAAAGGAAACCTATGTTCAAGGGACATACTATGCAACACTCTAATTAACAGGCATTTATGAACAGTTTCATGAAACATGCAATAAAGCAGATGATGCTTTCTCCAATAAAAGTTTGGTGTGGGATATACTAGAAGTTTGAAACATATTCATTCCATGAAACCTGCAGCTCATTGGTAATGTTTTGCCCTGATGTTACTCAATTTCAATATGCAGTGTCTAAAATTTTTGGCAGATCTAACAAAAAACTGCATTTGAAGTGCTTCTTTCAAATGAATAATACACTTAAGTTTTATCTGTAAATTTTCACAGCTACAGTCTGTCCAAGGAATAGTAATCTCTGTCAAAGCTCAACTTTTTGGCATGTTCTGGTTATTTTCTATACAATTACTTTTACTTAAGGTGGTCTCACACTTCTATAGGAGAAGGATTTTCATAGATCATTACATAGCAAGCTAAAGCAGAAAGCAGTAATATTCTTGCACATACTGGCTGCATACAGCACAATATCCCACAACAAACTTATTATAAGTACACCACACTCAACATTTATTTGCAGTTATGCATCCACATTTAAAGTAACTATTAAGAGAATAAAAAAGTCAGTGTTTGTATGCCTCCAAAAATTCTCTAACAATGATGGAAGCAAACATTTAAGCATCAGATGCCCCTCAGTTACAGGTATTACACATCCATCAGTGCAGAGGAAGTGGGTCAGGGCAGGGGGAAAGAACGTTTATATTGCTATACTATTCCATGGTATATTTCAGAACAAGTAGGTATTTGCTCCAAAATTATCTTTTCAAAAAGTAGTACCTATAAGCCAGACAACTAGGTAGTTTTTCCTTCAACTTCACCTTCCATACTAAATGGGGCAGGGGACAGAGAAAGTACAGCTTTTGCATTTAGAGAATACCGGAGGAAAAATATGCATGAAAAAATCTCTCTCCAATATCTCTCTTGCTTAGCAACTGTACCACTGCGTTTGCATCTTTTTCAATCATGTCAGATATAATGGCTAAACCATCATTTTTTTACAAGACAGTTTTCAAACAGGAAAAAAAGAAGATTCTCAATTACTAAAATAGTAAACCAGAAACCTGTCTAATTATTAATAAAGTTTTGCTGAAGTATGGAAGGTGCTCTTCATACCAGAACGTGCCCTCTATAAATGCAAAAGAAACAAGCCTCAGAAGTTCTGATTCATGTAAGGCATTTAGGGATTGCTCCCAATTTGGAAGGCAAAGCTGTCAGCCAGAACATAAAACATGCATGCCACTATTGGAATTCTTTTCAGAAATTTGTTATTGACCAGGTCATAGAAGCTATACGTAATTTCAGTTATGTTGTGGTAAAACTGCCATCACAGATCTAGATTTTTGTGCATGATATTACAAGTTTATCTTAAAAATAAAGAGTGCACTTTTGTAAATTCAAAGAGTTCATTATTGTTTTAATATATGCCAATTACATTTGTTTCAAACACTAGACATATATATACAGTACACATGTGTAAGGACATGCATATATTAAAATCAGAGTGAATTAAGTCTTTAAGTGTTACTGCATACATTTGTCATTCAATACATAAATAAAACTAGAATAATACTTAAACAGATGAAAAATAAATATAATAAATGTTGTAACAAGTGAGAAACCAATAACTTTAAGAATCTAGATATATGATAGATGGTTTGCTGCAAGACTGAGACTTGTAAGAGCTTCTGCAAAACAGAGTTGCTTTTGCTTATAAAAGCCAAGTACATAGCAATTACATCAGTTCTGGTGTGGTTCCCCTATGCAGTTTTAAAAGTCATTATAAAAAGTCTCTAATTCCTTTCACCATGTACAGTTCAGTTTTTGGGTACCTGTGTTCTCTAACAACGTCTTTGGTGTGTTGGGTCTGTTAATTATTTCTACAAGCTGGTGCAACACCATTGGAATATAAGGCTGCATCTCTATACCTGAAACAGCCAAAAAAAAGATTCAGAAGAAAGTGATCATTAATATACATAACTAAATAGATTGGGCACATTGAACTTACTAACAAGGACAAGAACCTCAAATTTATTTGAATTTTAACATGAAAGTATCACTAAATACAACCCAAAACACACCCAGACAAACCATGCTAAATGTGCAGAGATTCAAAGAAAAAAATCTTACCCATCTGGATGGAGATTTCTCCAATTGCCCAGGTGGCATTGTTACACACCGAAATGAATTCAGGGTTTAGGTTGGTTCCCAAAATTGGCATGAAATCAGCTAGAAAGAACAACATTTTAAACTCTCATCACACAATACAACCATCTTGTCCTGTTACTGTAAGATCATGGGGGAAAAATACATAGTTTTTAAAACCAATAAAAAACCCAAAGTCTATTTAAATGCTTGGAAAGTGTTACACATGAATTAACAAGAGCTGTATTTCTGCTATATATCAGATTAATGTGGATTTTAGAACTTAAGCAGATCAAAGCAAATCTTTCCAAATTATGATTTAAAATGTTTTCAACAGGCTTTATCTTTATGTAATTTTAGAATCCTTTTTTCTCCACTTCCCTTGCTGGGGCAGGAGAGTGGAAGAGGGGAGGAGAAAAAAACCCACAGCTACAGTACTCAGTTTTATAATACAGTTGAACAACCTTCAAATCACCTGGATAGCTATGTATTCAAGCATAACTGAAAAAACAATGAAGCCTAGCAGGCAATGAAATCTTGGATTGAATTTTAAGAAGAAATTAGTCAAAGACAGATTATAACATTTGCCAAATATATTTTAAATTCCAAGCCTATCCAAGCACCCATTTGGCAAGTTCAGTGTATCTCAAAGCATCTGTGGGAAGAGACAGCAAATATAATGGAAGTACGTAACTGATGCTACTTCCCTACTGAAATTAAAAACAAAGCAAAAAACCAAACTGAAACCTACCCTCTAGCCAAGTTTTCTTATTTCAACATATATACAATTTTATGTAACAATAGATTCTAGTAGAACAAAAAAGCTTTACATTCAAGAATTTATTAAAACAAGCAACTACTCTAATTGAAATCTAAGAGGAAAATGAAAACTTGTAACACCATGAAAAGGCAACCCACAGAATAGGGAGTTTAACAACACCTAAACCAGCCTCTTAGCAGTTTGTAAAGAGAGTTAATTGTTTAATATGTAAAAGACACATACCAATGCAAGGCTTAACATGCTGAAAACATGCCTTTGTCAGGTCACCTAACAGTGCGAAAGAACTCTGCCGTACCTCAGGCATTTTATCCTAAAGAGAGGAAGGAAAAAGTGACAATTCTAGACGTGCTTCTGAATCTCTTAAAAAATCCTTGGATCAAACAGGTTACTTATCTCACCTGCATGCACTGGTACATTAGTGTCAGGATATTGCTGCGAGCTACTAGCTGTTCAATGTTGCCTCCAAGTCCTTCAGCTAAACCACTGAGTAAATCAAGAGCCACAATCATGAAATCTTTATCTGGAGCCTCATACTGGTCTGGCTGAGCATTATGCAACTGCAACAAATAAGTACGAAGTTTCAAAATGATTATTAGATTTTTGCAGGGGTATGCATAACAGAAGTTTCAGAACTACAGCTTCGTTTAGATATTCAATGGTTATACTACAAATCTCCCTGCAAACCTGTAACTTTATATAGTTAATACATTGGTTTAAGGAGATATTCTGGAAACATTGGAATAGCAATAGAAAAATACCATGGCTTGTGCAAGGGTCTTCTGCACCAGATTTACACAACGCTGGTACACAGGTTCACAGTATGGAAGAAAGCCAGATTGCAAGGCAGTAGCAACCGACGACAGGCACTGAGATTAAAAAAAACAAAAAGGACAGAGAAAACAGTCACTACTTTTCCTCACAGCCCTGAGGTGTTTTTTACTTGGGTGAGCTAAATTAAAAGACATTAGCACTTTAGGTACACTCAGATGCAACTGATTAAGTAAACACAACCCTGAAAGGCAGTACCAATTAGCTGAGCCAAGGCAACTATCACCAATTGTTACTCTCTCCTACATATGCCAGTTGAGAAAATCTCTCAGCAGCATCATTATCTCCTTAGAGGTAGCCAAGAAAGTACATACAAAAAAACCCCACATGGCACATGGAAGACAGAGAGGGGATTCGAGGCAGCCAGCACGGCTTCACCAAGCACAAGTCCTGCTTGACCAACCCAATGGCCTTCTATGATTCTGTGACTGACCACATTGGTGCATGAGGGAAGAGCTACGGATGCCATCTCTCTGGACTTTTTAAGGCCTTTGACATGGTCCCCCACAACATCTTTCTCTCTACATTGGAGAGAGATGGATTTCATGGGTGGACTGTTGGGTGAATGAGGAATTAGTTGGATGGTTGCACTCAGAGGGTAGTGGTCAGTGGCTCAATGTCCAGATAGAGATCGGTGACCCTCAGGGGTCCATATTTGGACCAGTACTCTTTAATATCTTCATCAACAACATAGATCACATGCATCCTAATGAAGTTCGCAGACAACACCAAGCTGAGCAGTGCAACTGACACCTAAGGGACAGGATGCCATCCAGAGGAACCTGAACAAGCTCAAGGAGGGGGCCCACGTGAACCTCATGAGGTTCAAAAAGGACAAGTGCAGGGTCCTGCACCTGGCTTGGGGAAACTCCCAGTATCAGTAGAGGCTGGAGGATGAAGGGATTGAGAGCAGCCCTGGTGAGAAGTACTTGGGGCTCCTGGTGGATGAAAAGCTGGACATGAGCCGTCAATGTGCACTCATAGCCCAGAAGGCCAACTGTCTCCTGGGCTGCATCCAAAGCAGCGTGGCCAGCAGGTTGAAGAGGTAATTCTGCCCCTCTACTCTGCTCTCGTGAGACCCCACCTGGAGTCTTGCGTCCAGCTCTGGAGCCCTCAGCACAGGAAAGACACGGACCTGTTGGAGGAAGTCCAGATGAGGGCTACAGAAATGATTAGAGAGATGGAACACCTCTCCTGTGAGGACAGGCTGAGAGAGTTGGGGTTGTTCAGCCTGGAGAAAAGATGGCTTCGGGGAGACCTTATCACAGCCTTCCAGTACTTAAAAGGGAGCTTCTAAGAAAGATGGGGACAGACTTTTTAGCAGGGCCTGTTGCAATAGGACAAGGGGTAATGGTTTTAAACTAAAGGAGGGTATATTCAGACTAGATATAAGGAAAGTATTTTTCACAATGAGAGTGGTGAAACACCAGCACAGGTTGCCCAGAGAGGTGGTAGATGGTTTCCATACCTGGAAACCTTCAAGGTCAGGTCGGCTGGGGCTCTAAGCAATCTGCTCTAGTTGAAGATGTCCCTGCTCACTACAGGGGGGTTGGACGAGGTGACCTTTAAAGGTCCCTTCCAACCCAAAGATTCTATGATTCTATGAAAAACAATTCATCGACCACTTACAGTAAGCTTCAATATCTTGACTATGTGCAAGCCCTAACACTACCTAAGAGTTATGAAACTAATTTTTCTAGAGGTGGTTTCCTGCTTCACACTCAAGGCACAGAGAATAGACTACATAGTCTGGTTCATACCTTCAGCTTGTCTGACAATAGTTTTAATAGAGGGATGAAAGGAGGGCAAGGAGAGAGAAGACAAGAATAAGAAGAGGATGAAACATTTTTTCCCTAAAAGAATCCCAAAGAAAACACTTCAGAATCGCAGGGAAAAAAATCTAGCAGGTTTCTGCTAAACCTAATGACATTTCCTCAGTCAAAAATTTTTTACTATAGTCAAGAGTATTTTCTCCATAATGGGAAATACCTAACACTGTCAGCTTTTATAGTCATACTTCCTTGTAGGAGCATCTTTAGTAGGAAGTGTAATTCCCAAAATAAGTTGATTAAAAATATTAAAATTTTAACATTTACCTCTAATAAAGGGAAGAGATCTTTGTCTTCATCCTTCAACATGTTCCATTTCTGGATTAATGGAGGCATTAGCATCTGAATATATTCCTGTTTAGGATGAAAATGCATCAGCTGCTGAAAGACTTCATTGCATACTATTTTATGTCAAAGCTAGAAAATTTATGCTTCCTATTTATTAGGAATTAACATATATTGTACTTTTTCAGCAAAAAACCCTGATGTAGTATAATTCAATCATTGTTGCAATATGTGGAAGTAGTTTAATATTAGAATTTACAGTTTCTGTCTTTAAGATTTTTTGCTGAAGTACTTAAGTACCTTTGCAGAGTGAATCTTTTCCTCCAAGCTGGGTTTCAGTCTATCTGCCTGGGTTGTTACAAATCTATGACTGCCTCAGGGCAGTTGTTTACTGCTAAACTAAAAAACCCCTAATTTTAGTAGCAATGCAATCTGGCTGTGCATCTACCACCTGTTTTTCTCAACTGCTTCCCATTGCCCTGATGCTACAACCCTATCCCTGCCAAGTTCCTGAAACTTTTTCCTCAAGGAACTAATCATCCATGAAGAAAGTAAATTTCCTATCCCTCCAGAAAGATGCACTTACTCCTTCTGTATAAAGCTATTGCATCTTCACTGCCACTGCACAGCCACAGTCACAAGGACATTAAGCAAGGCATCCCTATTGTGCTGTTGCTCCCAGAAAGTATCTAAAGAACCAACTGATGCTGCCAGCTAATGCTATGTTCAGAAATACAAAATTCTAAGTGACTTCAAGTCCCACCATCACCAGGAGCTTCCATTTAGCTTCCTCCTCGTATTGTCAAATGTCAAGGTGCCCAGTGTCAGAGAGACTGAAAAAGAGATCCTTTGATGGTGTGGGGTCTTGGATGGCAAGTAAAATGCCATGGAAACAATTCAAATTGTTTCATTCTAGTGTGTCTGTGTCATGTGAAGCACTATGGATAAATAAAACAAATTTCAATAACCATCATAAGATGCACACATGACATGTATGCATATTCTATTATCTACACTAAAACACTCCACTGTATTTGCCTGTGTGTTATCTGTCCTTTGTCCAAAGGAATCTGTGGTTTTTTATATGCAAAATGAATGCCTATCTCACTTTCTGATAGAGCAATTTGTGGTGATGATGTGCTCCAACACATTGGAAAGACACACATGCAGCAGCTTAGCTATACTTAAAGTAGTTACAAAAAAAGTGTGGTTATTAGAAATTAAAACACACATTCCACCAATTTCTCTAAAGTCCCTTTTCATATTTATAATATATGTACCTCCTCTGAGTTCAAAAATTCTAAGCATAAGAAAAAAAATCATGATGAGAAGCACATTTCACAAGCCACCACACACAATCATTTATGCAGAATAGCAAAAAATTGTGTAATGGGAAAATTACATGCAGTCTATATACTTTGCCTGTAAATATTTAATATTATCAAAATCTACACAGAAATATCACATTTCTGTTTTGTAACATGTAAAGTATACTACAAAAAACACTGAACCAGTTTTTCAATTACGATGATTGCTTCTACAGAACGTAAGGTATACTCACTGGTTTATTTAGATGATGTCCTACAGAATCTGCTAGAGTTCCTATAGCATCATAAAGAATGAGCAGGTTTTTATGCTGGTATTTACTAAATGCGAAGACCAAAGTGTCAAGTATATATGCAAGATAAGGAACAAGCTCTGTACAAGCCTCCTCTTCTAGAGTAGCAAAGGCACTGAGGGACAAAACCAAACAGATCAATATGTTGTAAAAAACAAAACAAGACAACTCCAAAACACCCCACACTGCCCACTTCTGTTAAACATAAAACTGTATTTAGTCCTGAAATTAATTCAAGATACGTTTTCAAAACAGTATTACTGAGATAACCTCAATCTATTTTGATTGAACATGTAAGTATTCAGCTCTTACAGTGTGATGAACAAAATTAAAAAATACTCCCGTAAAACCTGTTATGTATATGCAGGAAGCCCCAACCAAGAAAAGCATTATAGTACATGAGTTACAATATACTAACTGAAATAGTAGGAGCCATAACAAAAGCTATTTACTTAAGTTAAAAATGGCCCACTATCTTTAATATATGCTGTAGCTGCACATAGAAGCCCTAGTGCTATTGTACCAGTCCAATGTCAACATCAGCCTGTATGCTCAGCAGTCTCTACACAGAAAAACAGATATAGAAAGATATAGAAAACTAAAAGCAAAGGCAGGGATGAACAATTTTAGCCAGACTTGGTCAAAGCACACATCATGGCATCACGGAAACTTTTCAGGTTGCCTGTCAAGTGTTTCAACAACAGCACTAAAATCCCTACCCAAAACAAACAAAAAATCCCCACTGCTGCTTCAGAGAAACATTAAGGAAAGGAAAAAACTATGAACTATTGAAGAGTTACTAGCCTAGCTTGTGTCAACAAGATTATTATTAGCCCGTCCCTGCACTAAAAATGCATGCATCACCGCATGAGGTGAACAATCCCCTACTAGTGTGCTACCAAATACAGAAATGTCTTCTTAACACAATGCAACTGTGAACACTAAGTGTCTAGCATTCTTATTTATTATTTTATTATATTATTCTGAAGTATTTTTCCAGGAGCAGGAAAACATGTTTCAGTAAAATATCTTTTTCTGTGTCACCAACTGAAGAAGCAGTTTCTCAGCAGTACAGAAATGAACATTAGGCTTCTACTATTATGCAAAAGTTACTCATGAAAACATATAGGATACTATGACCAATTTTCGGTTTGGTAGACATTAATGATCCATGCAACTATTCACTGTAGGGATACAGCTTACTCCTCTCCAAGAAGCATCATTGTATTTCCTTGCAATTTAGAAACCTAGTAAGTATGTGTTGACTTGTAACAGCTCTACATTTCCCTTGAAGCGGAGTTTCCCAGACAGTTTATTTTTTAGCTACAACAGTAATTTTAATGAATCTCTGCTCTAAATAAAGCATTTCAAAAGGCACTATAAATCTGATCTTGAACTTTAAATTAAAAAATAATCAGCTGTATTAATATTTTTATATTTTTATAATCAGCTGTTTTAATATTTTCATTTTATCTCTTTCTTATTACTTTAGTAGTTTCCACTGCCCATTGCACTTACTTCATAAGCACTACATGAAGTTATTGAACAACAGGAACACAGCTGTGTTCAACTACATGCATATTTCAACCATGTTTTGGACAAGTAAAGTATGAACAAAAGTGCAGTGTTTGTGTGTTTTGTATGCACTTATTTTTGTGTTGTTTTTTTTTAAATAGAATCTGTACATAATCTGATTCCTTGGATCTGAAAAGGCATGAAGCAAGTAGTCTTATATCACTATTTCCTGCTCAAATAGGAAGGAACAGAAGACTATCACTATGAAAGACAGAACTGAGTAGATGTTAAAGCCCAACAAATTTTCTAGCCCAATGTTTGAAAAGGTTTAGATACAAAAAGAAATAGTGTTTAATATTCAAATCTTACTAAGTACATTTCATTGAATTAATTTTATCTGTTCTCAGGCAAGGATACATCTACCCGTTTCGTGCAAAGCTTAGCACAAGAACTCTGAGCTCAGCCTTGTCCTTAGGCACTACTGATACTTGGGGGTGCAGTAGTAGTAACAACAACAATAATTCACATTTCAAGTGTTAAGAATACAATTAGATGCAGATCTAACTCTGCTTTATGAAGAACCCCCTTCTTGGCAGTCTGCTGTGCACATTCCTACCCACACAAACTGACATGTAAAAGCTTTATTTGATGAGCTTCTTGCACAAGAGGTGCACCAATTCCCATTCCATTAATGAAGCCATTAAGTTTTTAATTAAAAAAAAAATATCAGCAGATAAAGAATCTTATCTCCCAGGAGCTCACTTCAAGAGAAAGAGAATATCCCTTGAAATAAACGTAACCCAAATGTTTTGGTAATCCTGAGCTACATATAAACATCAGTAATCCAATGATAGGACAGTTTTCCATTGTAATCAGTATTGACCTTGTTCACAGGCATATTAAAAAAGCCAGATTTCTGGTCAGTTATTTTCAGTATATGATGTTTCCCTAAGTGTCACAAACAGGTAATTTCTTTTGCTACAATAAATTTAGTTTGGGGATTCATATACTCAGAAAACGAATGGGACAAGAGAATCACAAATTAACATTTTCCATGTTACTACAACTGGGAGTGATTCGTGCCTACTCCAGAAGAAGCTGCACCTACTCCAATTTAAGAGAAAAAATACATACAGAGCTAGAAATGGAGTCATACATTTATCAATAAAGACATTAAAATGGTTTCCCATGAAAAAGCAGTGTCACGGAGAGTGCTTTTTGCTTAAGCTTTGGCTTACCTGCAGGCAGCTTCTTGTACTCTCTTGTTGCTATCCAGGATACGCTTTAGCAACTCAGTCATTAATGGCTTCAAGTATGTGTCTGGGGGTTGACTAACTACCCAGTGTGCATAGCGACTAAGAGTCCAGCATGTAATGGAGCGCACAAGAGCCTTTTTGTCAGAGAGGCACTGAATAAGGTGAGGGATCAGCTCAGGAAGATATGGAATCATACCCTGCATGCAGCCTAGAAGGAAAAACATGGTTATTGCAGTACCAGAATTAACAAAAAGTTCTGTTTTCTGTTTCCTAGAAGGGACATATTTTCATTCTCTACCACACAGGAAAACATTTTAAGAGCATACAAAGCAAGTCTACCTAATTTATATTAGGTCTTAAAAAGAAACCTTACATAAACAATAATTAAAATCCCCAATTAAACTTACATTAATTTCAGCTACATTTCTATTTCAGTGCTTCCCCAACCTCCAGAAATTCTGCTTTAAGTGGAGTAAGGCAAATAGATGCAAATAAAATGAGTTTATAAAGCTTGGAGGTCCTATATCAGTCTACTTAGAGTAGCCAAGACAAGTAATCACATCATTAAAAAGAATACCTTAAGAAATTTAAATTCCTTCTTGTTTTTGCCTACTATCATACAAATATTGACCAGCAATAAGAGCTACACATTTCAAGTCAGTAAGGGCAATAATGCACTGAGATTTGCTAGAAGTACTAACTTTAACCTTGCTTGAATTAAAATCAAAACCAACAAAAAAGTTTTCTAGTAACAAAGAAAAACACATGTTCACAAGGCACTGTTGGAAAAGAAAGATAATCCAGGCATGGACTCAAATGTATTCCTTTAGCTTGCAAAAGGAACAGAGGTGCTATAAATGCAGGCAAAAAGCCAAGCAAGACTCTGAGTAAGTACAAAGGAATGGAAGTTATCATATTTAAATTGGAGAGACATCCACAGAAAGCAGCTCAGGGCACTGAAGTCACAGGAGTGGTCTTCTCTATTTCTGAAAATACCTGAATGAAATAAGGCTCAAATTTATTAGATATTCCTCTTCTATGAAAACAAGGTAGTATTTAATCAGGTAACAAAAAAATATATGCTGCATAGTTAAGAAAGGAGAAATAAAAGCTATTTAGCATCCCAAACATGCACAGATTTGAAAGTGAAAAATTAAATAACTGGAGTCACCAATTAGCAGAAGTAGGGACTAATCACTAAAACCAAACCAGCTAAGGACATATTCTTGTTTGCATAAGTAAATTCACTTGGAAGGAATCACAGAAATGCTTTAGAACCAATCAAAAATTCAGCAACCTGATAAGCACTGTTGCCTTACCTTCAGCAATTGCTCCAAGAACAAGGATGCCAGATTCTTTAACTACCCATTCGGGATGGAAGAGCAATTCCTTCAAAAGGGGCAAGATGTGTGGCAGAAGTTCATCACGAAATACATTGGCTAGGACATCTAGAGCAGCAGCAGAACATTTCCCTGGGAGGAATTAACAGTGTTAATCTCTGCTTATTATACAAACAGTTGTAGTTAGGCAATATAATCCTCATTTTAACTTTGAGGTGCCAGTCGAGTGTCAGGGCATTAGGAGGAAAGATACTTCCATTTCATTACAATACAGAGTGATCCACTGTGCTCTGGTGCAAAGCCACAGCTCTTACAAAGCCAGTTTTGCAGCACTTAAATAGCCACTGCAAGGACTTATACACTGGGGCTATTAAAACACTCAGACAGGAACCACACCATTATACAGCAACATTATATACACTGCATAATTTCAGGATGGCGTAACGCTAAGGAAGAGGGAAGGTCTGTGGCAAGAATTTAACATAATGGAGAAACTAAGGATAAATGGCCTAAAAATACTAGCATTTGATTCAAAAGAACATGCTCAAACACAATCCACATTTTAAAGTAAAAAAGGCAAAATCATCCAACTCCAGAGACTGAAAGGAATTTGCTGGCCTCTGCTCTGAGCTTTTATATCTTACACCTACTCTGTGATGCAGTAATATGATGAGGAACACCGCAGAATTTGTTTGAAAGTTTTAATCCCATGTTTTTGGCAAGCAAAAGCAAAAGCTCGTAACAGAAAAAAAACCAGGAACAACTGCAAAACATGATTCAGAAATCCTTACTCTGTTTTTCTGCTGTGCTGTTGTCACGTCTAGGAAAATATAATGCTAAGGTGGTTTTATAAAGAATGCTTGTATTACAGAATTTATACTGCATTCTTGGCTTATTATGATCTCAGTTCCCTCAATCTGTCATAAAGTACCCAACTAGTCTCATTAGTTCACAATGCTGCTAGTTGTCAGATTTTGCTGATGGTCCCCCCGCTGTTCAAATTGGAAGTCAAATATAGAACACTGGATAAAAAATAGGGCACACAATCCTGATTTTCAGATAATCCAACTTCTCTCAAGTCCACGTAACATGTCAATACAGGTTTCTTAATTATTCCACTCCTTTTGTTTCAGGCCACCATTCCTGGACAACTTCAGCTTCCTCACCATCTTAATCAAAACTGTGGACCACAGGACATCCTCCGTCATTTCATCTTTTTCAGAAAATACGCATTTAATTCTGCAATCTCGATACACAGCAGTAACAAGAACAGCATTATGAATCTAAAACTATTTTTTTTTAAAAAAGAGGCTTTATGGAAACAAGCATATTTGCACTAAATAAATAATAACAATAATCATCATAATCATCTTCAGGTAAGTCTCAAAATTGTTTGGCCATAAGCATCAAGGTGCATTCACCCATCATGAAAACTTGGTGCCTTGGAAGAAAAAAAAATTATATGGATGTGTCCAAATCTCAAAAAATTATTCCACAATGAGGCTGCTTGCAAAGTATATTTAAGTTAGACTTTTCAGAATTTTACTAGCTATTTTCTATCACTGAGCTCAAAAATCAGTTTGTAGCGTTTTTCTTTCCTTACCATAGACCCTATTAGCCTAAGGGTCCTGTGACCCATGCACAAGCCATCAGAACTGTGGTTTCCTCGCAGCTATCTCCTCTTTTCGTAACTAAGGTACTATATTCTGTTCAGAAGCAAATTCCTCACATACAAAAGAACTACCAGAAATTGGCCATCAGTAGTAGCATCTTCACATGGACAAACGAACTACAAAATGAAACACAAACCAATTTTAGATGGAAGACCGAAGTAAAAGAAAGCACTATTAAGCCTCCTCCAGCTACCAATGTGTAAGAGCTTTTTTTTAAAAATTGAAGTTAAACAGGTGATACATGTTTTTTATTATCTTGTAGAATTAAATTCTAAGTCCAAAAGTTCTGTTGAATTGCATCTAGTAAGTGTTTGTGGCTCAATCTGCCATATTCTAAATCCGCTTATAGGTGGCTAGCTTTTGCAAATATTGTTACATAAAGCATCATCTGAAAAACTCCCCTCTCCACTCCATCCACCAATTATGTCAGCAGGTAGTTCTTTTTCTACTCAAAAGCAAAGCCTCACTACTCCTATATACAAAGTCTTCTTTTTACTGTGGATCCTGTATTGTGCAAGTAGCTCTATTTTAAAACATTTTACACATTACTTTGACATACTTAAATTCCAGTCAGAAATAGTATCATCATCATCAAGTTCATCGTCATCATCATCATCATCTTCAATACCATCTTCTTCATGTTGCTGAGCCACTGTCCGTGAACGATGAAAACGAGGTCTTATATCCTGTTCATTATCTGGAATAGCTTCATCTTCTTCAACATCCCCCTGTCATCAAATTGTTTTATCAGATAAATTAGTCCAACTATATTGCTCCAGGAAGTTAAGAAAGTAGGTTTTGTTTAAGATTTTATAAGCATAGAAAAAATTCACATCCCACTTGTGCTGCCCAGCTAACTAAAAATGCCATTGTTCCTGCATCCTGCTCCCGCATTTACTAGTAAAATGACAAGAAAATAGAAGCAAGAGCGGCAAGCTCATGCACAAAGTATCTTTCTTGTTAAGAAATTACTAGATGGGAATGAAAATATAAAGAAGACTGAAAAATTCTGGTACACAGACATTCAAAAATGTAGTGATGGAAAAAGTCATGTATTCGAACTAGAAGGCATTAGAACTAATTCTGAACAATTCTTTCAGGCTGCCTTGTTGCAGTAGTTCATGGGTAATAGTATCCCATCCCTGCTTAAAGTGGGTGGGAAGTGAAAGGGGCAAAGCAGGAAAGCTCACAGATTATTTTCCAAAAAACATGGCAGCAGTTGCATTTAGTATTTGGAACTGCACACCTTGCCCCAGAAAGCTAATCCTCTGTTGAACAGATGTTAGGCCAGATCTGCCCATTCTGACCTGAATCATCCTGATTTATAGCTAAGAAGCTAACCAGATATTCTTAGAGTAAAAGAAATTGATGCTCACCTTCAACAGAATAATATCTATCTCTGAATATTTCATACCATTTACCAGCACAGGTATCAGCCTACAAAGTAATATTGATACATGTCAAAATAACACATAAAAAAGCAAGCCAGTTTTCAGTTACCTGGACCGTAATTTTGGTTGTAACCCTCATTTCCCCAACAAAAGTTAAAAACCTTAGCCTGAAAACAAAAGCTAGAACCTAAACCAAGCTCCATGTCATAAGGCTCATGAATACTTTGTAATCTGAAAAAGTGTTAATTTCAAATTACAAACTTTCAAGTAGTGGTAGCCAGATGGCATAACTGAGTTTTAAACTTTAAAAAACAAATAGTCTTCCATATGATGAATTTATCCTGAAGCACCTTTCAGAAATTAAGTCTAAAGGCCTTCAGTAAGAATTCAAATTCCCATAATATGCATAATAAACAAATCGGCTCTCACCAATATTACTTGTCATTTTATCTACTTGTGGCTGAAGACTCTACCTCACTACTCAAAGATGGAAGCCTCTCACATTAAGCCTCCTACCCTTTTGTGATTCCTTCAGTAAGACAAGTGCCCAGCATTGCAGAGATCTTGACTAATATGTATTAGAATTTACTTCATTATGAAACTGGTTATGGCTATGGGACTCCAACTGTACAGATGTATAGCTAAAAAAGTAAATTATTTGACATAAAAACACATTGTCCACAAAGAACCAAATCCATAGAAATATGTATTACAAGCCAAATAAAGCTAATAATGACCATGGACTGAGCCAGCACCAGTGACAGATTCAATCCCTCTAAATTCTGCAGCTGAGGAGTATTGTTTTTGAAGGTGCGAGGCCAGCAATAATATTCATGTATTGCATGCCACATTACCTTCTGAACTTTGAATGAAGTAATAGTGAGTATACACATTATCACGAATTCATTGTCATTTCTGCAGCATACTTCATGAAGTATGCAGGAGCTATGTATTTTATAAGAAAGCCTACAGGAGCAAAATGGAACGAGTTGTTAGATACCACATGAACAGGTTTTTAGAAGATCTTTTCCCACTTAATTTAATGTAAAAAAATTTTAAGATTATCATCAAGTATTGACAAACTTATACAGCTGCCTAATCAAACAGGACACATCAAAAAATAAGTTGCTCTCAACAAACATGACATTCAGAAAGATCATGAAAGAAATGCAATGTTACTCTTACTTTTTTCCTAGAAATTTAAAAGTTTTTTTTTTAAATTAAAAAATAGTGTGACACTGTTGCAGTGTCATTGTTCATCTAGGCCAAAAGAGGTTTAACACCACTAGATATTAACTAGTGGTTAGTAACAACTGTTATTCTCAGTATAAACATGATGTGTGTTAGAAGGGTGTGTGCAGACTCAAAAATTGTGCTATCATTCTTTTGTCTTTTGAGATACAAGAGCAGGAATTCAGTAAAGCCATTTTAAAACTTAAAAATAATTTCTCGTAACATTGGTGCTCCTGTGTTCAACTCCTATTCCTCCAATGCTACGGTAGGTGTTTTAAACAATTAGAGAATAGATAATTGAGATTATGAAAACTGAAATTGTGCTGATTTTTTGCAATAGCTTCACATCTATAATGCTCGTTTTTCCTGAGAAGAACGCGTCTCGTTTGTCTGTGATTCTGTTCTTCCACTCAAGATCTTGAGATCTGCCCCACTAATTTAAAAAACATCTTCCATACATACAGAAAAAAGTACCCGTTTACTGGGAACATGAAGAATTAATTTCCTATTGCAAAAGACTTCAGATCAAACTGGAAAAAAGTTATAAGCACTGTTGCAGACATGCAGATGTTTAAGTCATATTCATTCCCATTTCATCAGAGATCTACATTTTGAGGCACAGGATAACTTCTTGAAACTTACAAAAATAAGGTTTTGAAACTTAAACTACTATCAGGCTGCAGAAGTATGAAGGAACACATTGTACATGCTTTCTTCAAGTTTAAAATTGATTCCTAAATCCAAGTGATGTCATGCTGTTTTGTTACGTCCTTTATAAAATGGGGAACCCTTTGTATGATTATGCACAAAGAAGCGTTGCACAGAGGTGCCTACATCAGCAGTAGTCAAGACAACAAGTTCATGGTACACCAGATATTATAGGTAATGCCACATGGAGATGTTTGAGCTTAATTGCATGTTAGCACATCTTTGCATCCATGTGAAGCTTAACAGTCTGTTAAGCTTGAGGTAGAGCACCACAGTGACAGTTTATGTTGCTTCTGGAGGTCACTAGATTTGAAACCCTCAGAAGGCTTTTCAATGAACTCTGTGCTACAGACATTTTTATGTACAAGAACTAGCTACAGGAAAATTCTTCCAAGCATACTGCAAGCTAGATACAGTCTCTGTAAGAGTAATCAGGAAGAAGTTAACTGAAATTTAAGATGACTACTTCAAAATAAATAGGACTTGTAATTCTTAATACTTACTTAGTAAGATGCCGACATAATACATCTTTACAAATTGGTTGTTCAGCCAAAGTCAGCCAAAACTCACATGCCTCCAAAGCCACATTTTCATCTTGGTCCTGGGTCCTTTGAAGCATGTACTACACAATAAAACAAGTCACTTGTATAAGATGGAATTGTCCAGAAGAAGCTACCAGCATTGCAAAGTGCGTTCGCAAACCACAGAAATTTGGTTTCTTTGGGGTGAGGGGAAGAAACTGACCGCTTAAGGCTATCATGAGAGTAAGTTGAGAGACTTTTTTCTTAATGCCAGATGAATTGGATTCTAAATTTTGTCATTGCTTAAGTAAGAACATTATTACCAAGAAACTGCAGAGACCAGGATAATAAACAGTAGTTTCCTGTGAATAGATTTTTTAAAATTTTTGACTCCCCCGTTGCACTTTTGAATAAAAAAGTACAACCATACCCTTAGTAGGATGGAAATGCCTTTTATTTCCAGTACCATAAAAGAGCTTCCCTTCCAAATCTTCATTACCTGACAGGATGTAATTAAGTAGAACCCATAACAAACAAAAAAAGTCTCACATTTTTCTAGCATGAATGGTAATTCAGAGATTCAGTATCAAATCTTTAAGATTGCTATTAAAATTTAATTCTCCTTCAACCAAAAATAATCAAATACCTGCATAAACAAAAAGCCAAAGTAGACCACTGCTACATCAGCTTCTTATACACAACTCCCAAAACAATTTACAGAAGACTCTTGCAACTTCCAAAATAGCAATTTCTACATTCTTCCATGCCAGCCCTTATTTCTGAAACAGTTGGTTCTTCCATTCATTTTAGAAAATCTCACGAAAGTCCATGCAGCTACCTTTCCTCATACAAAGAAAAATCCCTCTTCAGTTGCTTCAGAATACCATTTTATTCTCAAAATTAAACATAATGGGGGACCTTTATTACCCTTATGCATTTCAGCGATGCAAGACTTGCCATGAACAGCACCCCTTCCAACAGAATTACACTAAATCACAAGCTTTTCCTAAAGGTTCACTATTCTCATTAAGAACTCAGTTAACAGAAATACTGCTCTATTCCAAGTTGTCAGCAGACTGCAGCATGGGAAAGTTGGAAAATGTCCTATTCATTGCAAGCAAGGCTTCCTTAATGTACTTTAAGCTAAGAGATTTGGCACTTGTGCCCAGAGGGCTTGAAAATCCACTATTTTGTTGTGGATTTATTTGTCAGAAAGACAAAAACATAATGACAAAAAGTAATCTGTTTGAAGACGCCCCTCACACTGTCATTTCCTCTTTAAGTATTTATTTTAAGTATTATCCTATATGTTCCATGAAGTTATATAGCACTATAAAAGGCTATTTAAACTCAGTAGTGTAAAATAGCCATATACACAGCCTGGAAAACCATAGCAAGTACAGTAACCCTAGTAACAACACAAAATATGGGAAGGGATTTGAAGGCTTTTAAAAAATATTATCATGCCAAATTTTAGTCAATACTTTTAATGATAAGCCTGACTTTAGGCAATGCAAATAGTTACTTTGTCACTATAAATTGAAAAATAGCAAAGGGAGATTATTCAGTACAATTTTGTGTAATCTGTAACAAACAATGTTGTGTTAGTCATGTTAAGTCAAACCATCAAGAAAAGAATAGTGGGATACAAAAAATATGAAGAACAGATCCTTTGAGCACTAGATTTTTAACATGATCTTCTCACTTGGGCTCGAGCAATGCCTGGCTGCTCCATCATGTAGCTCATCCTAGTCATTTCAGGATCAATTAACTTAAGAATAAACAACTGCCATATGCATTGCTGTCAAACACAATGTCAAGTTGTCAATTAGCTGAGAAGAAAGGTTTGCAATCTTCATCTTGAAAGAAGAGAATAGGCAAGTGCAAGAGTAACATACCTGTTCTGATGAACGCTTTTTGTTATTATTTCTGCTACTCCAATCAAGTTTTTCAGCATGCGAAGTGGGAAATGAGACTCACCTCAACTATACTAATCATATGAGGAAGCAAGCGATCCATTCGAACTTCCAGTAACATTACCAGAGCACGGCAAACATTTTTGCGTACTTCAGGCTCCTCATCACCAGCCAGTGCAAAAAGATTCTGTTGGAAAGCAGTACCAGTTGAAAAGCCTCAGTTCATCTAATTCAACTTATATTTGAATTGACATTACTGGAAAACTATGTGTAAGTGCAAACATGTACTTCTGTATTTTCCCACCCCACACCTCAGAATACCATTTTATTTCTCAAAGACACATGGTTTAGCAAATGAACTCTTTATACACTCTGTGTATTGTACACATAACCAAAACACTGTGTAATATTAGCACTGGCACAATAACAGTATTTCCTGGATTTTTTTTCTCCTAAACATAAATGAAATTCCAAAGCCAGAAAACTCCATCAGTACCTAACAGCAGCAAACCAAATACTCTAGATAACCCAAAAATACCACCCTTCTAATCTATGTTCAATAGCAGTATTCAGAGAGATCCAGACAGATTCAGTGATATGATGATTCCATCACAAGTAAGTGACAGACTGCTGCCACTACTTTTATACCCTCATGCACATCCTGGTTTTAGCTGAGGTAGAGTTAATTTTCTTCCTAATAGCTGGTATAGCGCTGTGTTTCACATTTAGTGTGAGAATAATGTTGATAATTGGGTCTAGTTGTTGCGAAGTAGAGTTGTAGTGCTTATACTCAGCCAAGGACTTTTCAGGTCCCCATTCTCTGCCAGCGGGGAGGTGCACAAGAAGCTGGGAGGGGGCACAGCCAGGACAGCTGACCCAGATTGGCCAACAGGATATTCCCCACCATGTAACCTCACACTCAGTAGGTAAACTGGAGTTGGCTGGGGAGGTGGGAACCACTGCTCAGGATGGGCTATTGATCACCAGGTGGTGAGCAATTGTTGCGTTGTGCATCACTTCCCTTTGTATATTCCTTTATCAGGAATACTGTAATTTTCTCTTTCTTTACTGTCCTATTAAGCTGTTTTCCTCTCAACCTGCAGGGTTTTTTTCATGGGGGATTGAGGGGGGCAGTATTCAGAGTGATGGCATCTGTCTTCCCAAGAAACTGTTATGCATGATTGAGCCCTGCTTTTCTGGAGATGGCTGAACACCTGCCTGCTGTTGGGAAGTGGTGAATGAATTCCTTGTTTTACTTTGCTTGCATGTGCAGCTTTGGTTTTCCCTATTAAACTGTTTTTATCTCAACCCACGAGTTTTCTCACTTTTACCCTTCTGATTCTCTCCCCCATCCCACCTGCAGGGGGTGGTGAGCAAGCGGCTGTGTGGTGCTTAGTTGCCAGCTGGGGCTAAACCATGACAATACAACAAGAGCTTCCACTACTTATGAGGAGGAAGTATCTTTCAAAATATTTTTTTGGGGCATGGAGAGAGCTTAAACTAACCAGCTCTGAGCACAAGCACACACAATGAACTCCAATCCATGGGGACTGAAGCTAAGGACAACCAGAAATGGGGAGTTCGGGAGTAGAGGGAGTTGTAAAACATAATTCAAAACTCTTGATAAATAAGATACGTAATTTGACTTAAGCCCCCAAAAAAGAATGCGCACCCACCTCAATAAAAGAATCTATGTGCAACATAAGAGCTTGAGTTCTGCTGATGATAAATTGATTGACGCATGCAACAGCATGAGACCTACAAATGGAACAGTTAAAATACACATTTTTCATGAGCTAAAAACATTTTCTAAATTGTACATAGGCAACAAAAACATTAGGAAGCAAATGATGTTTTTCAAACATCTTCTAGAGGCAAGAGGGAACAAATCTGCACTCTGTAGTATTACAAAGCAAAATTACTAAACCACATTTTAAGTACCACCTCATACTCTGATATATCTAATAAATATTTAAAAATAAAGTATTCAGTAAATAAAGAGAGCAGGATGACTACACCTGGCATATTTGTTCAAACAGTATGTAAGGATAGTCTTTGAGTATATTATGATTATTGATCTTCTCAGATTTTAACAATTCCATACAAGTCAATATGGTGAAATTCTGGCATGCCCTTCTTCATTTTTAAGTATCCAACTGCCTTTGCAATATTTTTAGTATTTAGTGAGGCCAATATATGTCAACAATATAGCTGTAGCTTAGAACAAACACACACTTGTGGTAGGATACATACTAAAACACCTATGGTAGAAACATACTAAGAAATGAAGCATTGGTTCTTCTATTCCATTTCATGCAAAGCCATTACTTACAGGTCTTTTTCATTCTAAGAGATACAAAAGTCAAATTCCTTAAGTAAAGGCACAAGGCAAAACCACCTGTAAAAGCCTTTGAAGATCCATTAAAGTATTTTTACTAGTTTAACTCCAAACTGCTATTCTGTTCAGACATTTCTTGGAAGGCTATCTCATAAGGCATTGTTCAAAAATTGCCTCTTGGCAAATTTAAATGCAAGGTCTTTTTCTGACACTACTAATAGTTTTCATACTCCAGCACTATGTACAGAAACCAGGCTTGGGTCAGCAGGTGGCTTGTTTTAAACTTGAAACTGGTTTAACAGTCTCAAAGCCACAAACATTGCAGCATAGGAAGAGTGAAAGACTTTATGATGTGGTAAGAAGAAAAGCCTGTTTTTCTCCATCTCTCCCAGCTCCAGAGAAGTATTAAGTTTATCTTCCCACAAAGGTAAGTTCATGCTTTGTTACATATTTTTCTTAGTGTGCACCTATTTTACATGAGTTTCTAAATCTTATTTGAATCCCACCATGATATATTCCAAGTTATATTCTTCCTTTTAGTCTTCACCATCTACTACTGTTGTCAGTAAAGAACTGCCACCTCCAATTTGTAGAATCTTTCAGTATGTTTTTCAAACAGGAATTAAAAAACACATTTCACAGAATCACAGAATGGAAGGGATCTCTGGAGGTCATCTGGTCCAACACCTCTGCTCAAGCAGGGCCACTTACAGCTAGTTGCACAGGACCATGTCCAGGCAGCTTTTGGTTATCTCAAAGGATGGTGAGTCCATACCTCTGTGGGCAACCTGTGACAGTGCTCAATCACTCTCACAGTAAAAAAAACCCCAAAACAACAAACCACAACTTTTCCTGATGTTCAGAGGGAACCTGCCGTGTTTCAGTTTGTGCCCATTGCCTCTAGTTCTGTCACTAGGCAGCACTGGAAAGAGCCTGGCCATGTCTTTTTTGCTCCCTCCTTTCAGGTATTTACATCCATTGATGAGCTCCCTCAGTCCCAGTTGTCTCAGCATTTCCTCATAGGAGAGATGCTCCAGACCCTTCATCTTCATGGTCCTTTGCTGGACTCTCTCCAGTATGTCCATGTCTCTCTTGCACTAGACAGCCCAGAATTAGACACAATACTCCAGGTGTGCCTCACATGGAAGACAAGGGGAAGGGTCACCTCCCTTAACCAGCTGGCAACACTCCAGCCCATGATACCATTAGCATTCTTTGTGGCAGGGGCACACTGTTAGCTCATTTTAGGGTAAAAGCTACTGTTCTTCATAATTAATATTAACAGTAACAATTTAATGCTGGAATTTTTCTTCTATCCTGTACTTCTGTTACTTTGGAGTTTAAGAGAGTTTTACAGTGAAAAGATGACGAATCCATTTAATTTGATTCAGCTGAAAGAGAAAGTTTCTAAGTTTTGGAACAGTTAGAGCAGAAAAAAATTTTCTGCAAGAATTCAAAAACTATTGTCAGCAAAAGAATTTTGACTCTCCCATTGCTGAAGTGATTACAAAATGAATGCAAACTTGTTCTTTCTAATCAGGATAGTAAGTTCTATCCACAGCACTGAATTTTTCATAATTGTAAGCAAATACTTAAAAGAAAGTTTCATTTTCAGAATCATAGTCTGATTGTACATTTGGAAGATGTATGAAGAGGTGAGATTGTTGTATTAACTAAGCAGACAAACACGGAAATTACTGATGCATGGAATTTCTGTGGATCTCTGCAGGATCATTTAAAAAAGCATGTTTTTAAACAGTTCTATAAAATAGCAACCTTGCTGCTCATGTAATTAAAATTTTAACAGGTAACTGTACTGCAGCACGTAAACCTACCTTATTTTTGGACTGCTGTGCTTGAAGAACTGCAAGAACTTAGGTATCATGATATTGAGTGGTCGGTCTAATACATCACTATCCAAAATTTCAGCAGAATCTTCACATATTTTCTGAAGAGCGCCAAAAGCACCCTGTTTAAAAAAATAAAATCTTCTTTCACATTCTGAAGAAAGCAAAATCCCAGGTTTTGTACAGAACAGGTATTTTAGCACAACACAGTAAATGTAGCTGTTTAGCACAGTACATGCAGCTAACTAAATATGGAGTTAAAATGAAACATTGTTATGGGCTTTTTATTTAGGTACTTTATACCAGCATCTGCAAGCTCTCAAGCTCAGTGAGTCAGTAATGGATAAGTGGTAATTTTAATTTTAGTATTTACTGCTCATCTAGTCAATCATGTTTTTAAAAATCCTTAAAAGCTAGTTGTTATCTGAGAAAGAAATGTCCAGGTGCAGAAGAATCCAATTTAATTACATATATAATTGTACTTCCTTTCCTTGTTTGTTATGTGGCAAAATGGTCAATTTGAGTTTCATTTTCAAGTTTTTTTTCTTTTTCCTGAGAAAGCAGCACTAACACACTACATAGCAGCATTGCATCTTGGAGCATTATCCTATCTCTGAGGATTATTTTATACAAAATGCTTTACACTTTCATGGAGACAGTATCAAGTAATTAAAAATTGTGTGATCATAGATATTTATTTTTTCAAATCAGACAAGGCTTTTTTTCTCCTCATAGTTTAAAACAGTTAAGTTGGTATTTATTTATTTTCCTTCACACACACCGAACAAAGCAGTTAATTTCACCCTGATACAGCAATGACAGATTGCTTTTCCAAATGAAGTTACAAAAAGAAGGAACATTACTTTTAAGTAAGAGAAAATTCAGGATCAGCTTGATGATGCTTAAAAAATTAGGCATCACAGCGTAGTAACTCCAGGACACTTCTCAGTTGAGATGCTACGACTACCCACCTGCAGTCTTATTCTGCTTTTGTGCAAAGAAAACAAATTTGTTTGAATGAACAGTAAGAACATGGAATGCAGGTAGAAGAAAAAGTATCAAATTTGAGCCACTGTTCTGAGAAGAATATATGTGCATGTATACACACACAATACTACATGTGTAGTGTCTATGAAGAGAGATAAAAATAATCAAATTCAGATTATAGTCTATTTTCTGTCAGTCTCCTTACCTCACAGGTATTGTAATCTTCAGAATCCAACAGGCTGCAAAGCTTTGGTAAGAGTTCAGGCCAATTCTGTAATTCCCCTTTTGAGGCAATTGTTGTTATCAGAATGCCTAAAGGAATCAAAGGGATGAAGGAAATCGTCAGATCTCATTTCCTTCACACCATTCATACAAATTTTTCTCATTTTTCTCGTCTCAAAGATCTAAGGAGTTAAGAAATTTCTTGTTTTGTTAAGAACTGGCATGCATAAAAAGATGTACATTTAATTACAAATGTTATTTGAAGGTCTTTGAAATGCAAAGGTGGGTTGTTCCTTCCTGCTATCATGAAGGGCTCAGGTGTGAGAAATCAAGCACAAAGTAACTCCAGTTAAGGAAATAATCCTGCCCAAACACTGCAGGGCAACTTTGGCTCTAAGTTTACTAAACACCGTACAAATCTTGACCTCCAGTAAATATAGAGTATCCACCTCAAGTCACCTCTTCTTATATTATGATACAAAAGCATGAATGTGGGAATCTGTCATTCAATAAACTTACAACCGAGTTGTTAAGTTATGTGTTCACAACTTTAAGGTGTTTACACAAAACATTAAGAACGCATTCTAAGACTAAGATACCTACTAAGAGCTTGCACACTATGGCAGGTCATCCAGTGATCAGATGTAGGGGTTGGCTGATTGAGATCCAGCAAACAGATTGGTCAGCCCAAAGAGTCACTAATTCTGTTTCCAGCACATACAGAAATCCCAGGAAAAACTAATTAGGTGACAGGAACAAGGAAGGCTGCTTATAAACTAGGACTGACGGTATATGAGTCCATTTTGCCTCAAGACAAAATGAAACAGGTAGCATAATCTGTTATGCTACTAACAGTTACTTCTAATGAGTATGAACACAGAAGAACTTGATACCACTACAACTAGTCATGACCCAAGCAACAACTGATGAAAAAAGCTTTCCTAAGCTTTTTCATTGAGCTAGTCACAATGTATCATTTTTCTTTGGAATAAAAATGTTAAAATTCCTGTTAAATACACAAGAATACAGGACAACATTACAGACCAAAGGACATTCTGGACAAGACACACAGTAACTAAAAGATATTTTGCATCATGTTTCCTTTGATGCAATAGGCTGGAGAACCCACAAAGACAAAAGGCAAAATTGAAGACAGAGGTAAAACACAATTTTACAGCTCCAGAAGTAGTTTGTATCCAGTTATCTTCATAACTGCAACTGAATAGAAAAGATTCCCCAAAGCCTATGGAGATCTATGGAGTCTTAAAGACTGCCTTTCTCCTGAATGTTATGGTCCTGCAAAGAACATCAGATGCATTAATAAAAAATATTATTTTACTGTTGCTGGATCTTAATGATCCACTTTTTGAAATTAAACTGAACTTCACAAAAAGAATAAAATAAATTAATTTTCTTGCCTCCTAGTCAAAGTACTTAAAATGCAAAATTGTCTCCTCAACTTAGATCTGGCACAGGTTTGTTTGTAGACTTAACACAAGTTCAGAAACAAACATTAAGAAGGAAATTCCTGGAACTCCTCTGGACTAATATGTGACAGAAGTTATATTATAAATCTCAAAGGGGTAGGTAAAGACTTGGCTGAAGATCTTTTTAAGGTCCTAGAAGTGGTTTCAGAGGATGGCAAATGGTCTGGCTATACTTGTAGTATGTGTAAGCTTTCACAGCTGGAGGAAAACCTATTTCAAAACTACCTTAAATGTTCTTCCAAAATGCTTATCCCAGACAGCAACAAGATAACCTAGAAGGTAGTACTTCCAGATGCATAGGCAAGAATTGACCTGAGGCCGCTGCCCCTTGCAACAGAGATGTATGCAGTTCAGACCACACACGTCACTGCGAACTTTCCGTGCAAGTCTGTACAGAAGAAGCCACCTTGCTAGTGTTTTTGAACTGAAAGAGAGACACTTTACTGGGGACAAAAAAATAACAACATCAGACTATCAGGAACTTAGAAGCAACAGATATAGCATTTGAAGCTTTGCAAAAGGTTTTAAGAACAAGAAGGAAACAGACACATAAAATTAAGTTTTAGGCACTTATGTTCATGTTAAAAGGAATCTTCATAGGCTTCTAATGAGCTTCATCTTCTTTCAAATGTGAATTTTCTCCCACCCACCTGCTGCTTTATTTGGCCAGCACGGAACAGAAGACAGAGATTAGCCTTTGTGGCTTTCTCTGCCACACTTCAGACATAGAAATATGGACATTAGAAGAATAATCAAAGTAAAGAAATAATCAGTTTAGTAGCTTGACAGCTTTTTGACAGGTTTGGGATAGAGCTGCCAGTTAAAACAGGCACTTGCTTCTGACCAACATACTAAGCTGCAGTGTTAGAAATCTGAAACAGAAAGTCTTTATAAAGATGATTTTTGATTTGGAATAAGCTTCAAAACAGTATTACATAAACTGTTGATATCTCACTTTGCAAATGTAAAACCTAATGAATGTAGCAGCTGCACTAATTGAGCAGTACACATACAAGAGAACAAACTCTGGAGGGATGTCAGAAATTGTTAGAAACATAAGGGTAGTTGTCATGACAGCATCATTTATATCACTGTTTCAATTACAAGCAACTCCAGTTTATAACACCAATTCTACAATAAAAAAACTGAACACAGAAAAAGCAGCTATGCTTCAGTACTCTCATGCCAATAACAGGACAGGGGGAAGGCTGGGTGTTTTAGGGTGGCCTTTTGCCTCCGTATCTCCTAAAGTTGATTTCTGAACACCTTGATTCTAAAAAGCTGGACTTCATAACAAAATTCCCCATTATAGGGCAATCACTAGCTTGCACATTCCTTCTGCTGTGAAGCTCTCTAGTTCCGCTGCTACTCAAACACTCAAACTATTTCCCCAGACTGTGTACTGGGTTTGCATGGCACGGTTTTGGTAGCAGGGGGGCTGCAGGGGTGGCTTCTGTGAGAAGCTGCTAGATGCTTCCCCTTTGTCTGACAGTGCCAAGGCCAGCTGGCTCTGGGATGGACCTGCGGCTGGCCAAGGCCAAGCCCATCAGCAATTGTGGTAGCACCTCTGTTATTACATATTTAAGAAGGGGAAAAAACCCTGCACAACTGCACACAGAAGAGAAGTGAGAACATGTGAGAGCAACAACTCTGCAGACACTAGGGTTAGTGAAGAAGGAGGGGCAGGAGGTGCTCCAGGTACCAGAAGCAGAGATGCCCCTGCAGCCTGTGGTGAAGGCCAGTGAGGCAGGCTGTGCTCCCGCAGCCCACAGAGCTCCATGGTGGAGCAGGTCCTGAAGGAGGTTGTGTCCCTGTGGGAAGCCTGCATTGGAGCAAGCTCCTGGCAGGACCTGTGGAGAGAGGAGCCCATGTTGTAGCAGGTTTGCTGGCAGGACTTGTGACCCCGCAGGGGACACACACTGGAGCAGCCTGTTCCTGAAGGACTGCACCACATGGAAAGGGTCCCAAGCTGGAGCAGTTCATTAAGGACTGCAGCCTGTGGGAAGAACTCATGTTGGAGAAGTTTGTGGGAGACAGTCCTCCACAGGAGGTACCCCTTGCTGGAGCAGAGGAAGACTATGAGGAGGAAGGAGCAGGAGAAACATGCAGTAAACTGACTACAACCCCCACTCTTCATCCCACTGCACTGCTCAGGGGGAGGAGGTAGAGAAAATTGGGATTGAAGTTGAGCCTGGGAAGAAGGAAAGGGTGGGGGGGAAAGGTATTTTAAGATTTGTGTTTACTTCTCGTTATCCTACTCTGATTTTTTGGTAATAAATTAATTTTCCCCAAGTTGAGTCTGGTTTACCTGTGACAGTAACTGCTGAATAGCTCAGGGGGAGGAGGTAGAGAAAATTGGGATTGAAGTTGAGCCTGGGAAGAAGGAAAGGGTGGGGGGGAAAGGTATTTTAAGATTTGTGTTTACTTCTCGTTATCCTACTCTGATTTTTTGGTAATAAATTAATTTTCCCCAAGTTGAGTCTGGTTTACCTGTGACAGTAACTGCTGAATAATCTCTCCCTGTCCTCATCTTGACCCACAAGCTTTTAATTACATTTTCTCTCCCCTGTCCAGCTGAGGGGCTTTGATAGGCACCTGGCATCCAGCCAGGGTCAACCCACCACAGCTTCCTTTCAAGCAGGAACTACACTAACATCCTGCCCAGACTAGAATCCTCAAGAAAGTTTTAAGAGCAGTTACAGATACTTCCTCAATAGATGTATTATTTCCTTGTAAGTTTGTGGGTACTCAGCACATGCAGTCATCTTTTTTGAACCTGAATCCTTATTTCAACATTAGCCCATAAGGTTTTAAAACCTGTACCACAGTACAGAAGTTCCACAGTTGCTCATTTGGGGATTAAAATAGGGAAAAGCTAAGTAAGGATGCAACAATGTGTAGCTACCATTTGGTGCCAAGTCACAGTTCAACTCTTATTGCCATGCTCATTCTCCTCAGAGGTGACTTCTGAGGATGGGATTAATCAGCTTGCCTCCATCTTGGCCAAAAGGTATCAGCTTTTGTCTGGTTAGCACTAGATACTAGAGACCACAAAGGAGAGTGCATGCTGCATTAAAGCTTCTCTGCTGCTATTTTGATGTACTTGCTCATCTTCCTCAGAATTCCAGAGATCTTATTTGCAATTGGATCTTTAAGTTAACAGTGCTTGAGCTGCAAAGACCCATACACATTTCAGAGTAGCTCTAATTAGCACATGCCAACTCATATGCTAACAAGGCAGCCTAGGTAGCTAGTAATATTTACACCTAGCTAGTACCAAGAGACCAGTGGGTACCAGACCAACCTCACTGTTAAGACAGAAGGCTACATAGATCCAACATTTGATTACTTCAAACAGCAGGTTGCAAAGCATGCACTAAATAGCAACTCTTACACAAGCATACAGTTCATCAGTTGCTACTCATCTTCAGAATTCACACATGCTTGAATAACCCCTGCAAGGATCACTTAAAGCTGAACAGTAATTGAGCTACTAATCCACAAACGATTCATACGAGGAGAAACCAAAGAATAACTACTTGAAAACAAACACCACCACCCCCAACAACCCTAAGACAGCAATTCAAATGGAGATGGAATATATTCTTTAGTCAGCTCCGTTGTACTCCATTGACAACTCCTATGAGCAAACAAGCAAGCGTGACTTCTACAACCTGAAATCACAATGTACCCTGCCACTCAAAGACTTGTTTCTACTGTCATTAAGAAAATGGAACATTAATAAAATTCATAGTAAAGCAGCTTCACAAGCAACAAGACAGCAGGAAAAAGCTAAGAGATGAGAATTTTTCTCTAGTCCATAACCCATTTGTCTGGAGAAGGAATCCTATAGAAAAAGCAAAGGATTCTAGAGGAGTAGTAACTGGTAGATTATTTTATACGAGGAGTCAGCTGACACAAGCTGAATTTCTTTCTGAACTGACACCCACCTCCATTTTCTCTGCTGTACTCAAATGTATATTTATTTTACTTTTTTCTAGTTTTGAGTGGACAAGGAAAATTACAATCATCGTAGTAATTGGAGGAAATTGTATTCTCAAAAAGCAGACAGAAAAAGCAACTTTACCTAGAAAGAAGTAAAAATAATGCAATTATGCATATTTTATGGAAGAGGAGTACTAAAACAAGGTATCTACAAAATCAGAAACTTCTCACTGGAACTAGATGATCTTTAAGGTCCCTTCCAACCCAAACCATTCTATGATTCTATGATGTTCTGTACACAACACTATTTACTGCCTTCTGACAGAAGCTATTTAAAAACAGAAACTCATTATGTGAATCTGTTATGCATGGTATGATGATTCCCTGAAGGGATATGTATGTGTGTGCATAAGAGGGGGGAAGGCACAAGAAATCAGCTAACAGAAGTGTTTCATTGATGCAAGCAGAGTACTGAAATAGTTCTGAAGTCAGACCTTTACCTTGCTCCTGTTTTTAGGTATAGAAATTGGCAGCAAGCTCAATTTTAGTAGATTCAAATAAACTTATGTTCAGTTGCATTTCAAGAGATTATGAACGGAATTGCCAAGTCAGTTCTAAGAGAATAGGAAGCAAGAGTAAATGTGACTTTTGTATATTCACACTAAAGATAAAATATCAACATTAAAACATGGTGAGGTTGTGACAATTATCAGAAGCAAACAGTTTTAGGAGTTCAGCAACTCTTTACATCACTAGAGCAGCTCTCACCCATATCAGTAACATTTTTAGTATGAAGACGACAGCCGTAAGAGCAAACTTACCTACAGTAGCTCTAATTAAAGGGGAGGAATCACCAATGTTGTTCAAACATTCACTTTTAATGAAGTCAGTTACACCATTGGGAAAGTTCTGAAAATGTGCTTTTACATTATTCTTCAAGATGAGGCCACTCAAGGAACGTGTCGGTTCATCTGCAACAGAAAATAATTACAGTCAGCCTTCAACCAGCTTATAGGAATAAGGCAGATTTCCAGAACAATGCAACAGCAAGGTTTATATAGAGATATTAATCTTACTTTCCTTATCTCTCCTTCCAACAACACTCATCAACCAATGTAGCAAAGCTTTTCAGGTTCAGAGTTTACTATTTCTGTTATTCAAACTCAGAATATCAGTATAACAAATTTTACATTTTAAAAGAAAGCTTTGTATAGAGATATAGGCAAGGAATAGATCTGAAGTCACAGGATATAGGAGACTCACGACAGACATTGGTCAGCCAAAGACATTCAGACATTCTGATTATACTCATTGGCTTGCTGCAACGCTGATACTGTAAGAAATTGATGACAAACTTGCTTTCACCTTGGTAAGATACAGAAGTGATGTAGGGATATGCAGTAAATACTCGACCCCCTACTGCCATAGTAGTAGTGTTCAATTTTTCTACAAAATAAGGTATTGTAATCCCTTCCAATTGTGGGTGTTTTATTATCTATTAAATTAATAATTAGAGGTAAAAGGGAAAAAAGTCTTTAAACAATATTAAAAGTGTTACATAGTGTGAACCCTAAGAAAAAAACAACCAGAATTGACCTGAACTGAGTAAGAATTTAAGTTTAGGCAACAGTGAGTTCTTTTCACTGAGCTCTTTTTGCCTGCAAATTTCTCCAAAAATACTAAGACAAGAGAAGGAATGGAAAGAGAACAGCCTAGATTTTTCATTTATATTGGAGCAGACTCATGTTTGGTTCTTCAGCTGAGGGCATGAATAACTTGGTATTACTTCTGAAATATGCTGAAAGTGAGGTCTGGATGTTCTACATAGAAAGGATTAGTTTACGGTGTAAGAAAATTTGAATTTACACTTTACAGCAATCCTAATCAGCACAGGAAATTCATTTTAATTAGCATTTTAGCCACTTGTTTGAACTTTTTTATATGAAGCCCTGATCTGGGTAAGAAATAAGGGCGTTCAAAGCTCTTTGTGCCAGGAATTAGTTTACACATGGATCTACTCCAAGGCCTTCAAAACTATTGACATCCCAACAGAAATAAGGATAAGCAAAATAAGAGAAACCACTTTCAAATATAAAGTACTTTCAAACTAAAGTGACTGCATTACAGCACAAAGTCCCTCAGTACACCCATGATGTCTGACTGACAAACTTTAAAGATAGTTTCTATTGTGATCTGTGCTAGTTAGAACAGAAACAGCACTTTTCAGAACAGGCGAGGGGTTTGCTTGGCTGATCAGAAATTAAAATTCATTTTAATCAACTGATTTTGAGTGTCAAAACCAGATTGCCATCATATACTTTCTAATCTTGTTTTTATGTTCATTTTTCAGTTCTCCTAAAGAAGCATTATTCATGCTCCATAACTATAGATGATTTACAAGCAAACATATCCTCTACATAGAATTCACTAACTTTATAAACCAGGAGCCACCCTATGCATACATATTTGAAACAATTCTGTAACTTCACCTACGCTATAGGTTTTAAATACCCACCAACTTCTAAACAATACAAAACTAAGTCATTCCACTTGCACAGCACTGCATTTCAAGGGCCAAAAACTCTTCTCAGAGAATGGACAAGGAGGGAGGGAAGGGGTTATTATTTTGAATAGTAATATTAAAGATTGGATGAGTGGACAAACTTCTCAACCACAGAACTCGGTTGTGAGATTGACAAGTATTACTACTATTATTAGTTGGCAAGTCAAATCAAGTAATTTTGCTTAAAGTTTGGAAGGTATCATTAATAAAGACCAGGTGGAGAATAACCTAAAGAAAGAAGTTTTTATTTCAACTCTTGATCAGTCTCAGGTTTGCCTGAAATACTCTCTGAATTAAAAGTAAAACCTCCAAATCAACTCTTACACCAATATAGTATGTCAAACTCTGCTTTACATAACTGTAATCTGTTGATAGGTACATACACCTCCAAGAAATCCAGTCCTCTGTAAATGATTATTAAGATTTAAAGTTGTGCCTGGCAAGGAAGGAAACCAAACAAGTCTTCCTGTAATTTCCACATGACTTAAAACCCTTGCAAGCCACAATAAACCATCATTGTCAGCAGCCAGTTAGACACAGAATACAATAGTTACTCATTCTGTATTAGCCAGCAGTAGCTTTTTGGGGTGAAAGAAGTCAGAGTGCCAGCCAAAGTCTGATTAGAATATGGAACATTAGCCACTATTAGTATAAACTCCAGCATGGAAATATTAAACAGTGCATTAAGGAAAAACATTAATCCTTCAGAATGCCTGGCTGCAATTACAAAGGCGACAAGGCAACAGCTTCCATTTAACCAAGCAGAGATACAGATGCTAAGTTCCTTGTGTCAGAAACAGGCAGACTAGCCAGCTGGTTTCAATAAAAATCAAGGTCACATCAAGGTGAAACTTCAGCACCACTTTTTTCTTCATGAGCTATCCTATGGTTATGTATGTAGCAGGATGAAACATCTTAAATCCATTCCTTTAGCCAAGATAACAGAAAGACTATTCTTCACAGTGTTTATCCCAGACCCACAACAAAGATTCCATGGGATTCATAAGTGAAAGTTGCTCCTGTTAAATAAATTCATGAAGCAGAAAAAGAGATCAAAACCAAAAAGTAAAACCCATTATCACCATACCGAGAGGTAACTAGCAGAAATCACAAAGATTGACTTATTGCTAAACAAACATCAACCACTTGAGCTAGAGAGACAAGGATATTTATGGAATCCAGGGTGTTCAACAACTTAACAGTTACACTGTCAGAAGAGAGTAATATAGGTCTGGATGGACTTCTTGCTGTAACACCAAGATTACAGGCAGATGGCCTAAAAGCTGAGTAAAACACTCTTTAGTCTTCATAGGTTCTATGATAAGTTCTGTCAGCCATATGCTTCAGCCATCAAACAAGATTGCAGTCTTGCCTCCTACCTCAGTCAGCCTGGCAGTATAGAGAGTTGACAAGAACATACTGTACAAGAAAAAAGAAAGCAAAGCAGACCTCTGGCATTTGATACCATTGTTGGTGCCAAATCAGTTCATCAGTGGAAGATTCCCCTCTCACATTGCCTGACTTTATAATAAAACCATATCACATAATCATCATTTGATATTGGTAAATTTTCAATTCTGTTGCAAGACAGCAATACTAGTTCCAGGTTTTAATGGTTTACATACAGAAAATGGACACACACCCACATTACAGATATCAATCAGTGCTTTTAAGAACTAGAATGTATCCTAAACCAGCCATATTTCCTCTGATGAGAGTTTGTATGTCATAGTGTGCATATGTGAAAGCAACAAGGGTTTTATAGCTCACCTGCAAGTCCAGGTGAGCATTTGTTTCACCATGCCTTTTCATCCTCTCTTCCTTAGCACATAACTTCCTAGATTGCTAAAAGAACTGACCACATGCTAACAGCACATATGAGACCATGCTGCTCTTACTCTTCCAAGTCATTTGAAATCCATCTTCAGTCTCTTTAGTTTTCAGTTTCTACCTATTACTTCATCAGCTTGCTTTCTTCAGGGAGGGAGGAAAATGAAGGGGAACTGTGAGTGCTTGCCGCTTTGGAGTGCTTAAAGCTCCTGAGATTTAAAGCTTGCCAGTCAGAATTAACTCTGAACAGTAGTATATCTACTGATGCAGAGAATAACATCCATTACTTGATGTAAATGCTTTTTCCTTCGAGATGCCAAAATAAAAGTTAGTACTGTTGAATCTGTATTTGCTTGAACAGCCAGTGTGTGCCACTTCACAGATGAAGCAGATAACCTCACTAGGAAGGAAAGGTGTTGCCCACTCCAGTGCTGCAGGGCTAAGCTGTTATAAGCTGCCTATACTGAGCTGAATGCAAACTGCAGTCGTCATTGGTACTTATGACTCTGTCAGGGCACTGCTGCTCCTGAATACCTTTTGAAGGCAGAAGGCACAAGCTGAGTAAAATCTTCATGTGGTTCTGAAAAGTGAGAATTATGTCATTATAGAAGGAGAATAAAAGTTTAAAATGCTTTGCAAATGCAGTAGCAATGCTTAGCCAGTTATTGATACTAGCATCAAACTGTGGGATCAAGATGTGCCTTTACATGGCTCTTTAGATTGCTTTCAGTAAGTATACTCAATTCTGGAGCTGGCCAAAAACACTATGGGCACTATTATTGGTGGTACTGAAAAATATTTGGGTATTTTCTGGGTTCCAGGCCCTTTTGGCATTAAAGGAAAGGTGCTTTTACTTGCACATGAGAAGTACTAATAGACCTTCTTTTATAAGGCTACATTCAGCTTCATAAGTGTTCAGCTAACCAATTGCATCTGCCCCAGCACTGCAAGATAACAAACACAGCAGAACTGTTATATCATCCTAATGCCTCACAACAAGTCTGTTTTCTGAAAATCTAGAAAGACGTGGTAATGTTGCTTCATAGGAGCCATCATAGTCTAAATCAGACACCAGCACATAGCCTTGTTGAGTAGGAGGCACCATTTTTTCAGGTAGAAGGCACCTCAGAACTGCACTGAATCAAGTACTGCTTGATGGACAGAAGTACCTTTAGAAATCACATCAGTGAAAGTTTCCCTTTCTATTGGAAAATACCACATGTTGATGCTTGATAGTTACATTGTAAGCACAGTTAGATTTGACATGAGAAACAACCAAACATTACTAAGTAAAAGAGCTTGACTTAAAGCATACAAAGAAATACCCCTTGAAGCAGACTATATTCAGCTCATAAGACACACTAAGGAAAGGTTTCAAATAACTGGCTAAATACCTCCAACTTACCCCCCCCCCAAAAAACTTACCCCCCTTAAGAATCAAGGGAAAGCCTGACAACCTCTGTCCCTTCTCTCCACAAGCTACTTAAGAGAAAAATTCCAAGACTCACCCCCAAAATGCTTACAGTGAACAGCACTTTTGAAGAACCTAAACCAATATGATTAAGTACATGAAGGTAC